TACAGGCTAAAAGTCAACTATGCTGATTATCAGAATGGCACTGCAGAGATAAATAAAAGATCTTTATGGTTGTAGCAGAGAATTATGGATGTCATAGTAATGTTACCAATTCCTGCTCACTAACATGAGAGGCTATATATGTTTTTTTTTTTTCGGGGGGGGGGGGGGGGGGCAATAAATGATGGCAAAGAGGTAAGGCTTAACTCAGCACTTGCCACTTAGGATTTTCATCAACATGGTGTGTTAGAAGTACTTTAGAAAGGATGGTTGAAGTCACTTCCTAACAAAGCAACACTACTTTGCCACTATATAGGGTAAATTTATTCTAATAACATCAGTTTAATGATTTCCGTCCCCTCATCTTACATTTGAGTTGTCTCTTTATCTCACATCTAAAGAAGTAATGTATGCAAAATGCTACTAAAAAAGAACATAGCCAACTTTAAGACAGACAATATTTTGCTACTCTTGGTGAAGTGACACACTTTGAGCTAATCCTACATGCCCCCCCCCCCACCTATTAACCCATCACTTATACACCTACATCTACACACACACACACACACACACACACACACACACACACACACACACACACACACACACACACACACACACACACACACACACACACACACACACACACACACACACACACAAAATTATTTCATTGCATAATTTACTAGTACTAATTAACTAAAAGGCCCCCTATCCTTTGATCCCTCTTACATAGAATTTACTCCTGGACTGTATTTAGTTGAAAATTACATCCTTTTGCTTTCAAAGTACATACAATCTCATTCACCTGACATTCTGCTTGCTTCTCCAATACTGAGTCAGTTCCCATAATAGCAGGAATTTATGTTTCTCCCTTATGCTAGATAGTTCAGACAATGATCAATATTGCAAACAATGATCAACATAGTGAACACACTACAGGCTAAAAGTCAACTATGCTGATTATCAGAATGGCACTGCAGAGATAAATAAAAGATCTTTATGGTTGTAGCAGAGAATTATGGATGTCATAGTAATGTTACCAATTCCTGCTCACTAACATGAGAGGCTGCTACAAGATTTTTTTTTTTTTTTTCTGGGTCCATGCAATGTTACAATTTTTACTCATACTGCTTTACTCACAAGTTATCCGTCATGTTCACTCTTGGATTAAGTTAAGGCTGGGCTACCTTCATGTGTCCTTAATGTGAAAAATAAGTACTTTCTCTTCCTGTCTGCCAGGAGTGAAGTTGAAGATATGATGGCATGACAAGTACACAGAATGAGAAGCTAGGCTGTTCCACTGTTCTGGAGAGTGATTTGACACAGCATGGGTTATAGGCATAGAAAGTGATGTTTAATCTGAGATACCTTCCCACTGAAGCCTGGTGGCAGTGCTGTATAACTTGTATCAACTGTTAATGTGGTCGTGTCTTCAAGCATAAGCCTTCTGGAAAGGCTGGTCAGATCACACTTCAGAACAACAATTTGAGTCAGCTTTTTGCCCTGTGCACATATCTCACTGTCACCTCTTCAGTCATACCCTAAGGCAGTCATCACTCCATCTCCAATTTCTAAGGACTCACTCTTCCTGCATACTCTTCAATAAAATCTGATAAACAATCCTCAATTTCCTTGTTTGCCCTTCAATGCAATATACTGCAAGTCTTTAAACCCCACCAGAGGATCCAAAACCTGACTTGAACCTAGTTGCACCCAGCTACAGAATGGGCAGAGGAAACAGGGCCCCAGATGTCCTACTTTTGGAGTGGGTGAAGTCAAATTCATTGGTGCTGGGAACAGTGAGGTTCATTCTGGGTCAAAATAAAAAAGAAACTAGGATAAGAATAAAAACAGGTGGGAGAAGAGGAAAGAAAGTGATGTGGGAAGCAAGTTAAGGAGAAAAAGAAGGAAGAAAGGAAGGGAGAAGGGAAAGGATATGAGAGGGAAAGAAAGGAGGGAAAGGATATGAGATTTAAAGAAAAGGAAAGGAGACATCAGAGATAGAAAGGTTGGAATGCAAAGAGAGGGAGAGGGAGTAGGAGAGAGAAGGAGGGAGAGACAGTGGGAGAGGAAGATGCAAAGCAGCAAGGAAAGAGAGAAAGGCCTGGAGACAAAATAAGAAAATGAGAGGAATGGAGACAGAGTGTAATATAATCATATACAAAATACAATGGTGTAATGCATCAATACATACACCACTCCTTTTTCATAATTTATTTGCACCCATCTTCCTGAGGCAGGTACTGGCATGTTAGTAAGCACAGCCAACTGACCCTGCTGTGTTAAGACTGTATCAATTCTACACATATGCTATTTCAAATTCCTCAGTTTTACAGGGGCAAAAGGAATGACAAGGCCACATGTTAACAGCTATAGGCTTTGTAAAGTTCTAAGCATACAGCCTGTATAACATCATGCCTGGCAACTCAAGATTGCAATGGATACTTAAATACTGATAAGATTAATCATACTAAAGGTTAATACATCGTGGGAACAATTT